AACTAAGCAGTAATTACAAATCAAAGTGATAGAATTTCACATTTTGTGCAATTCTCTTTCACTTTGCACCACTGGAGGCATCTACTCTTCACTTTCTGCCTTCTTGCCTATTTCACGGCTCTTTGCTCGGAGCTTGTTGACCTGTGACTCTGCAATGTCAGCCCGCTCCTCGGCTTCCTCCAGCTCGTGCTGGATCTTGCGGAACTTGGAGAGGTTGACGTTGGACAACTCCTCCTGGGGAAAGGAAACCAGATAAGAAAATTTTAAATAATGTAATTTCCATTTTTCCTTCACTGTGTTGATGTGAGATTTTCTAAAATAACATTATCAAATTCATAATTATTTCTTTAGAAAAATTACAAAAACTTATTAAAAATAGGTTTTTAAATGTTTAACAGTAATTTTTTCACATTGAAAAACTACAGTGGACATTCTGTGATGTTTTGTCTTTATAAGAAAAGAGTCAAAGACTGGGATAATATCTCCAATGCTTTTACAGATAATCCAAAGGAAGAGTTACTCTATTAAATGCTAAATGGTTAGATGGTTAATAATACATGACAGAAATATAAGACTCTCTGTACGTCCTAATGGAGTTAAAAATTTCCGAATAATACACATATAATTATAGAATAATTTAGGTTGGAAAAGACTTTCATGATCATCAAGTCCAATTGTCAATCTGACCTCCTGAGCCCCATCGTTAAACCACACCCCTTAGTGCCATATTCACATACTGACTAAATACATTCAGGGATGGGAAGTCTCATTTCCCTGAATTTCCAAGCCTGTTTAAGTGCTTGATCCATCCTCTGTAAATAAATTCCTTCTAATTCTAATCTAAGCCTTCCCTGCTACTTGAAGCAGTTTCCTTTCATCTTATCACTTGTCACTTGAGAAAAGAGACCAACACCCTTCTCGCTGCAACCTCCTTTCAAGTAATTATAGGGAGTGAAATGGTCTCCCCTCAGCTTCCTCTTCTCCAGACTAAATAACCCCAATTGCCTTAGTTGTTCCTCATATGTCCTATTTCCTAGTTGCTTCTCCAGCTTCATTTCTCCTATCTACATGAGCATGAGCAACTCAGTATTCTTCTTACGGTAGGAACCCCACAGTGACACAATATTTGAGCTGTGGTCCAGTGACCAGTGCCAGGGACAATCTCTTCCCTAGGGCCAGTTGGCCACACTCTTTCTGATACAAGCCAAGATGCTATTGGCTTGTAGGCCAGCTGCATACTGCTGGCTCACATTCAGCTGGCAGATCAGCAGCCTCAGGTCCTTTCCTGCTGGGCGGCTTTCTGCCACTCTTCCCCAAGCCTCTGTCACTGCATGGATTTGTTATGACTCAACTGCAAAATCTGGCATTTAGTCTTGTTGAATGCAGTGTGATTCGATTCAACCTACTGATCCAACCTGTCCAGATCCCTCTGTAGAACCTTCCAGCAGATCAACTCTCCTGCCTAACTATATTTAATTAGGACTCTGAGCCTGGCCATCCAACCAGTTCTTCACCAAGTACACGTGTACATCATGAACCAATTTATCCAGGAAATACTGCAGGAAACATTATCAAATGCTTTACAGTATCTAATAGCATATAATGCTTTCCTGATAAACAATATCCATAGACTTTCCTTCTCCTACAAAGCAGGTCATCTTGTCAAAGGAGATAAGGTTAGTTAGGCAGGACCTATCTTTCATAAACACATGCTAGCTACTTCTGATCACTTGATTGCCTTGTATGAGCCATGTGATGGCACTCAACATAATCTACTCCATAACTTTCCCTGGGAATGAGGTCAGACAACAGCTCGTAATTCCCAGGATACTCCTTACTGACCTCTTTAAAAGTCAGGTACATGGAGGCAACTCCTCTGGCATTTTTAGTTTAAAGCTGTCTACATCAGCCTGACAAGCCTGTAAATCAAAGATGCTTTTCCTCTCCTCTGAAAGATGGATCGCCTCAGTCCCCATCACACCATTTTTCTCAGAGAGTCCCATGTTAAAAGAAGCCAAATCCTTTTCTTTAAGACTACCACTGTAACCAGGCATTTCTCTGCCAGATTTGTCTGGTCCATTCAAAGCCTATTCCACTAACCAACAGGATCAAAAAGATCACTTCTTCCAGAACCTCTTAAAACTATTCCAAGGGCATAAAGGAGCGTTAAGGGAGATTTGTATCTATTTAATCACTTTCCATTTATTTCCTGCTATAAAACTATGTATTGAAGTCGTTGGAAGGCAATTTCTATTTCTTCAAGAGGAAATTATCAAATGTGAGATAAAGAAAGTGAAAGAAAGAAGCTAGAACATGCTCTCAGATGAGTTGACCTTAGACTTCAACATCACCTACTGATGCAACAGAACTCAGAACCACTGAGCTATTGTGTAGTGCACAGACAAAAAAATGACATAAATGTTAAGGGCTTGAACACAGCTAGGCAGAGAAAAACGCCAACACAAAATGCCAGTTCTGCCATGAGTGAGACTGACTGCTCAGACTAATAACTTACAGCCTCCTCAGCCTGCCTCTTGTAGGATTTCACCTTCATCTGCAGCTTGTCTACCAGGTCCTGGAGTCTGAGAACATTCTTCCGATCCTCTTCAGACTATAGAAAAAGGTAAATAGTACTAAAACTCACCACTTACATTTCCTCTAGCTGAAACTCTTCAGAGAGCGCTGCTGTCCAGTAGGACCAAAGACAAAGACATATTAACCATGTCAATGAAAGAGAACAATGGGAAGAAATCACAATATCAAAGAAATTGCAATGTCAGTGTGACAACATTCAGACTTCATGAGAGAAGGATGTGTAAGAAAAAGCTTTTTCTGCCTTACCTGGTAGGTCAGCTCCTTCACCCTCCTCTCGTACTTGCGCACACCCTTCACGGCTTCAGCGCTGCGCTTCTGCTCAGCATCAACCTCCCCTTCCAGTTCCCGCACCTGCAATGAAAAGCCCATTTTGGAGCTTCCCTGCTATCTCTGACCTGGCATTGCACACACTTGCACAAATACCAGCCCTACGCACCCTGGCCTCCAGCTTCTGGAGTTGCTTCTTGCCTCCCTTCAGGGCCAGCTGCTCTGCCTCATCCAGACGGTGCTGCAGGTCCTTCACCGTCTGGTCCAGGTTCTTCTTCATCCTCTCCAGGTGGGCACTGGTGTCCTGCTCCTTCTTCAGCTCTTCTGCCATCATGGCCGCCTGGAGGAGAAAGAATCCCTTTGTGACTGGATATTTGGGGAGAATGCATCCACCATCAGCAGTGGAGGCATGCCCCAACTCACATCGGTGATGGCCTTCTTGGCCTTCTCTTCAGCATTGCGGGCTTCCTGGATGGTATCCTCCATCTCACTCTGAATTTGGGCAATGTCTGATTCTAGCTTCTTCTTGGTGTTGATCAAGCTGGTGTTCTGTTGTAGAAAAACCACACGGCATATATATCATATACATATATGTCATCACTAATTTTCAGTAAAATACCATTTCCCTGCTTTCACATAGAGTTCTATTGTTTTTTTAAAGGAAGAATGACCCTTGCTGATAATAGTAATGGTAGAGATCTGTTGAAGTTATGTACTTATTGAAAAATCAAAACAGGTCTAATCATTAAATGCTTTCAACCCATGGACTTGCCTGAGTATGGAGGAGCTGCACACGCTCACTTGCATCCAGAAGCTCCTGCTCAGCCACTTTCCTTGACCTCTCTGTCTGCTCCAGGGCTGCCCGTAGCTCCTCAATCTCAGCCTGCAGCAGGTTTGCTCTGCGCTCCACCATGGCCACCTGCTCCTTCAGGTCCTCCTGTGACCTGAGAGCATCGTCCAAATGTATCTGGGTATCCTGTAGAACAAAGAAAGAAATTATAAGATTCATATGCCTCTAAAATTGTAAATATTGGTTAAGATTTTGTTAATGGTCATCATTTATTCAATAGACCTTGAGCACTCCTTGTGTGTTTCTGAGGTTCTTCTGTGCCTCTGCAGCCTGGCGGTTGGCATGGCTCAGCTGGATCTCTATTTCATTCAGGTCTCCCTCCATCTTCTTCTTCAGTCTCAGGGCTTCATTCCTGCTCCTGATCTCAGCATCCAAAGTGCTCTGCATGGAATCTACAACTCTGAGATGGTTTCTCTTCAGCTGGTCAATTTCCTCATCTTTCTCTGCTATCTTCCTATCAATGTCAGATTTGACCTGATTGAGTTCCAACTGGACACGAAGGATCTTCCCCTCCTCATGTTCTAGGGAGGCCTATAGAAGAATAAATGAGAATTAAATACTTACATAACAAATGCTGAAAATGATGCTTGAGTAAAAAATAGTGCAATGTTTCTGACAGCATCTCTAAACTTTCATTCAAGAACTCTCATGCTTTTCTTTCTGGGAATGACTTCACGTTACTTACAAGGAGAGTGATCCAAGACCTAAATCAGATAAGTAAATATTTCTGGGTACCTCAGCTTCCTCTAGAGCTGCCTGGAGTTCAGACTTCTCCTGCTCAATCTGCTTCTTGACTTTCTCCAGCTCATGAATCGCCTTTCCTCCCTCTGCAATCTGCTCCGTGAGGTCAGAAATCTCCTCTGTAGAGAAGAATGAACATTCACATGGTCAGGTATAGAGCATAGAGGGAAAGGCCCTGTGACCCCAGCATAACAGGTCTGCTCCCATCACTGCAGGCACAGACCCAGGTGGAGAGGTGGGCAGGAAAGCTTCTGAGAAAGCCCTGCCAGCAGGAAAGGCTGAGCGACTTACGCTGCAAGTTCTTGTTCTCACGCTTCAGCGTTTCCAGGTGGTCCAGGGACTCCTCATAGGCATTCTTCATCTTGAACAGCTCTGTGCTGAGGGAGCGAGACTCCTTCTGGGAGGCCTCCAGCTCAGCCTGTGTTTCCTCATACTTCTGCTTCCACTCTGCCAGGATCTGAGGAAAAACAGATTGTGAGTTTGGATGCGACAATCATTGTGTGCCCAGGAAACACAGGCCTGGAGCCCAGAATACCTTGTCAAAGTTCTTCTGCTTCTTGTCCAGAGCTGCACAGGCAGCATTTGATCGCTCCACGTCAATCATCAGGTCCTCCACCTCATTCTGCAGCCTCTGCTTTGTCTTTTCCAGGGAAGCACATTTGGAGTTCACGGCTTCAACGTGTTCCTCTGCCTCCTGCAGGCGCTGTGCCAGCTTCTTCCTGGGAGGTTGTAAGCACAATTTCCGTTGAGAAAGCAAATTCTCAGGTTCATGGGAAGCTGTGGTGTGCAGCCGGTATGTTTTCTGGACAGCAGTCTTGTCCACTTGATAGTGTGACACCCATTTACACCACATGAACAGACTTTTCTGGACAATGATTGTAATTGCATGGGCTTTAGTAAATGCTGGGCTTTACTAAAATACTCTCTGCTCTTCACTTGTTTTCACTCTAATGAATCTCCACTACTGTGTCTGAACAGCTTTGGTCCTTCTCCTTCTCCTAATATGTATTTTCTCATGGCTATATTTTCCTTTTCCCTATCATCCCATCCTGAAGTACAGCATAATTTTTCTCCTGATAATACTTCAGCAGTCTCCTCAATTTTTCCATTATTAGTTTCTGTTAGCCTTCCCCACTCTCCCCACATACTTGGCCTCCTCCAGCTCCTCTGTGCGCTGAATAGCATCCGTCTCATATTTGGTTCTCCACTGGGCCACTTCGCTGTTGGCCTTGGACAGGGCACGCTGCAGCTCACCCTTGGCTTCCTGCTCCTCCTCGTATTGTTCCCGGAGCAAGTCACAGTCATGGCGGGCAGACTGCAAGGCATGGGCCAGGGCGTTCTTGGCCTGTGGAAATGTTGTAGTAGGATAAGAATCATAGAATCATAGAATCATAGAATCGGCTGGGTTGGAAAGGACCACAATACTCATCCAGTTCCAACCCCCTGCTGTGTGCAGGATCACCAACCACTAGACCAGGCTGCCCAGAGCCACATCCAGCCTGGCTTTGAATGCCTCCAGGGATGGGGTATCAACGGCCTCCTTGGGCAACCTGTTCCAGTGCCCAATCTTCCCCCAATCTGTATCAATACCTGGCATTGCCCCAATCCAATTGCAGCACCCTGCACTTGGCCTTACTGAACCTCATTAGGTTCTCCTGGGCCCACTTCTCCAGCCTGTCCAGGTCTCTCTGGATGGCTTCCCTTCCCTTCAGTGTATTGACTGCACCGCTCAACTTGGTGTCATCACAAACTTGCTGAGGTGCACTGGATGCCATCGTGTGCCACTGATGAAGATGTTGAAGAGCACCGGTCCCAACACCGACCCCTGAGGGACACCGCTTGTGCCCGGCCTGCACCCTGACACAGGGCCATTGATCACAGCCCTTTGGCTGTGACCAGCCAGTCTAATTCCTTACCCATTGAAAGGATGGATATATCCATATATATGGGGAATAGAAATCTCTTGGGAAATGTCCTGAAAAGTTATTGGACACCAGATAACTCTTCTATGAGAATAATGGCAATATATAGAATGAGGAATGAATAGCTGGGAATTTGCAACATCTTAAAGGATAGGTGGCAGGTGTCAGAGAGACAAAATAACTCAAATTAAAACCAAATTAAATATCTGTTTAGGTTTTTTTCCCACTCAACATGATGTTTCTATAATTTTATATGTGTCTGAAAAACATCTTAGTCAGGAAAATCCACTGGATAAGACAGAATTTTGGAAAACTTCTTACCTTTATCTCCTCCTCTAAGTGCCTCTTGAGTTCCTCAATTTGTTGGGTGAATGCCTGCTTGCCTCGAGACAGTTGAGAAATCAGAGCATCTTTCTCCTCCACCTGGCGTGAATATTCACCTGGGAGAATTTGCAGGCAAGTAAGAAAAATGTTATATGAATGTTAAAGTTATTTTTCCTCAATAATCAAATACATGTGAAAATTATTTTGGTAAATAGCATTTTATTCTTCTCTTTGAATATTAGTCACTGATCTTCATCCATATCTTTGAGTAAACTATTCATCTTATAGTCAGGACATGAGATTAATCACTCTTGCTTTTTTGTTATTTGATTATTTTTGCTTTATATTTGAACTAAGTTTAGTGGTCTCTTAAAGCTTACAACATGAATACCAAATAGCACATGTATAGAGTCGCATATTCCTGACATCTGAATTTTTCCTGGCAAGCAGAGGGATGAAGTCTAGTTTAGGAGACAGATGCATTTTTCCTTCAAACTACAGTGCCTTAATCATTTCGTTGGTCCTGGGCTAGACTTGCTCCTGAATATCTCCATCTCTGATACTGACAAGTGTAATATTCAACACAGCACTCCAAGGTGTGATCTTAGCAGTGCTACATACAGGAAAGGGCCACCTCCTCCATTCACCTACTGCCAACGCTCCTCCTAATGCAGCTCAGTATTCTGTTGGCCTTCTTTGCCACAAGCATACACTGCTGGGTTATGTTCTATCATGTTCATGTTCATATTCATATTCATGTTACGGTATCTATCAAGGTCTCTATGATCCATTTTTGACCCCTTATTTCTAAGCTCCTGGCTATTGACTATGTTGTCTTACAAACCACAAATGTCTTACCGGACTCTGTTTGTAGACGAGCTTTCTGTGCACTGATGTCATTTATGGTGCGCTGTTGCTCCTCTTCCTTTGCCTTAATTTCACTGAGTTGATCTTCTAGGGAACGACACATCTTCTCTAAATTTGCCTATTTGCATGAAGAACAAAATGAAGGATGACTGGTGACTTAACATAATTACATCTGAAGTCTTGTGAAAAGCAAAAAAAATGAAGCTAATGATTTAAAGCATGTTAAGTCAATCTATGTCAAGTAACTGATATATTTTTCTATATTTCTGCATCCTTTATTCCAATATTTGTAGAATTAATTAACATACAATCTGTTTTTTAAATACATAAAAAGGATGATGGCACACTGTGCCATTATTTTCAACTTCTGCTTCATATTTACTTATTATATCATTGATGCATTTAAGGGAGAAGGAATGAAATAATAAGGAAAAAGGAAATGTATGACTGAAGCAATTTCTAATTTAGAAAAAACTGAAAACCTGTTAATTTCAGTGTCTTTCATTAAAATATCAAGCAGTGAATCAAGCACTGAGTTCTCTATATGTCCTTGTATTAAGTGCATCAGCTAAACATTTTCAGCTTTCACCAAAAAGAAGCAGTGCATTATTATGCTAATCCTGAAATGCATAAACACAAATTCAAGTTGTAAAAGACAACTACTTATTGTAAAATATGATTATCATTCATTTTGAAATATGAATACTTGCTTGTAAGTTGGAATTAATGTAAGCATGTATTTCACTACCTTGGCTTTGGAGACAGACTCCATGTTGCTGGCCAAGTCATCTATCTCCATCTTCAGCTCACTCTTCTCCTTCTCCAGCTTCTGCTTGACTCGTTGCAGGTTGTCGATCTGCTCCCCAAGCTCCGCTGTGCTGTCCGCATGCTTCTTCCGCAGGGCGGCAGCCGTGGCTTCGTGCTGCAGCGTGGCCTCTTCCAGGTCACGGCGCATCTTCTGAAATTCTGCCTCACGCTTCTTGTTCATCTCAATCTGAGCTGCCGTAGCCCCTCCTGCTTCCTCCAGGCGCTCACTGATCTCCTCCAGCTCCCTGGAGAGGTCAGCTCGGTGCTTCTCTGCTTTGGCCCGAGAGGTTCGCTCTGCCTCGATTTCCTCCTCCAGTTCCTCAATACGGGCCTGGGGAGCATCAGGGACCCTTCACACCCATGTCCTTCTCCTTCAGATGTTTTCTGAAGGCCAGAAGGGAAGGACCAGAGACTTGCCTGCAGCTCCTTGATCTTCTTCTGCAACTGCATGCCCAGGGCTTGCTCATCCTCAATTTTGCTCTGGATTTGGCTGATTTCAAAGTCTTTCCTTTTGCACAAAACAAACTATGTTAACACCTGAACAAAACCTCCTATGTGCACCTGCCCAGCACTCAGGTGTCCCACAACCTCACTTACTTCTTCAGTTTCTCATCCAGCTGCTGCTTATCATTTTCCAAGTCCATTGTGGATTCCTGAGTCATTTTCAGGTCTCCTTCAAGTTTCCTCTTTGCTCTCTCAAGGTCCATGCGCAGCTTCTTCTCTTGCTCCAGAGACCCTTCCAGCTAAACAGAATGGGATCATCAGTGCTCTGCCAGCCATGTTTATTTCCACAAATATAATAACCTATAATAGCCATATGCTTTTGTTCTTACATCATCCACTTGCTGCTCCAGCTTGGTTTTAGCTTTGGTCAGCGTATTGACTTTGTCCTCTTCAGCCTGCAGGTCATCCAGTGTCTGCTGATGGGCCTCTTGGAGGGCTTTCTTCTCTTTTGTCAGCTTGGCAATTGTCTCATCCAAGCCTGCCATTTCCTCTGTGAGGTTTTTCACCTTTGAAGAGAAAGAAGCAAGTTCAATTAAAGCTAGGTACACCTCTCCCATAACAGCACAGAGCTCTCTTCTGGAGTGTGATTGATAGCTTCTGCTTTATACCTTGTTTTCAGTGGCATGCTTTTCCTTCTCAACCTTGGCCAACGTTAACTCTAGGTCATCTATATCTTTCTTCAGCTCTGAACATTCGTCCTCTAGTTTCCTCTTCTTGGCTGTTAGCTCAGCATTCATCTCTTCCTCATCTTCCGCTCTCTCTGTAAGCTCCTTAATTTTGGCTTCCAGCTGGATTTTGGTTTTGATGAGCTGGTCACATCTTTCCTCAGCATCTGCTAAACCATCTGCTTCCTGCACATGATTTGAATAAAATGTTTTTCAAAATGCTATTTGTTTGTAAGTCATTATTCTTCCATTCTTTAACTAGCAAGGAATTATTATTTTAGAGCAGCTGAACAGAATGAGATCATTAATGCTCTGCCAGCCATGTTTATCTCCACAACTGTCCTATAATAGCCTTTTCTACTTAGAAATTGTTATCATAAGTGTATTTTTTTTTTTTTTTTTTAATGCCTCAAGCACAGAAGGTAAAGGAATACATATTTTTAAATGTCAGACTATAGTTATAGATGTTGAGAACTGTTGGGGCAGATGAAACGTATTCCTAATCCTTGCCAGTAAAG